TCATTAAGCAGGAGTGTATAAATTTAAAAGTAAAGTTCGTTTTTTAATTTTGTGGTTTTGTATGGTATAAAACAATCCTTATATTATGTGAGAGAAATTTCGGTGCGTAAAGTAAATTTCAGTGCGTAAAGTAATATTTCAGTGCGTAAAGTGAATCACTTTACACACCGTTTGAAAAAGAGCTTCTTTACACACACTTTTCGGTGGGTAAAATTTAACTTTAGAGGTTAGTGTTGCAAAAAATAATTTTCATAAAAACATTTTGTTATATGTAACAATCAATTCTAATAATACCACATTAACATTTTGCCCTTTTTTTACAATTTCATGCCTCTTTTTTTGATTTTTTCTAAAATTTTATGCGAATTTTTTCGACTTTTTTGTGAATTTATGCGACCAAAGCGACTTTTTTGAGCCCTAAAGTCGATTCAAGCCCTGTTAATATAAAACACCGGATATTTTAAGATAAGTGAGAATACAAGTTACATATTTTATATAATATATGCAAATACATATATATCATAAAAATAAAAAAAATTATTGATTAAAAATAAATAAATAAAAATGAATTATTATTATTATTAGTTCTCCCACAGATTTTCCTTTCAATAATAAATTAAAATAATTAAAATACTATTGTAGAAAAAGAGAGAGGCGGTATATAATTTTTTATATTGTACAGCATATAAGTATTGTACCAGTTCAATAACAGTTTATTATACTAACAATAAGTCACAGAAGTTTTCAGTACGTCGTACTCGTATAGTACTCGTATTCTACCGATATTGCATATCGGTACGCAGGACTAGTACAGTACCTGGTACCGTGCGAAGGTACATGGCTGGTACAGTACCAGTACGTCTAGTACGTCGTACTAGTGTGTTATCTGGGATGCTACTCAGTTATTCTTGATCAATATAATAGACTCTCCTGTTCCTTAAAAAGTGTAAATTAGGTATAGTGTAAAAAAATTAATAAATTATCGAAAATTGTTAAAAATAGTATATTAAGGGGGGCGCCTACTTTAGAAGGTAAAAAACTGCGTACATTTCAGGAATTTTTTTCTCAAACACATTTAAATAAATCGATGCGAGATTTAGTGTATGTTTTCTTATATATTTAAATCTTTGAAATATAATTTTTTGATTAAATGAAAATAGAATTTAATAATAAAATAAACGCCATATATATAACGCCTCGCTGCTGAAATTTTCCCATTGCGTACAACCTAGGGTCCACAATTCTTATCTAAAACAAAAAAACAAAATTTTTTCTTTAAATATCCATTATTGCCTTCTGTATGAATTAAAAGATTTCAATAGAAAGTAAAAACTGACATTTTTACATGACTTTTTTAAAAAAAATTTAATTTTCGCCAAAAAAAATCTCATTTTTTCTATAAAAGAAAGCACTAAATTTAACTCTATCAAAAACAAATTTAGTTCATACAGAAGAGACACTTTTTATCTTTAAAACAAGCCCAGGTAGACCTTAATCGGTTGAATAGATTTTTGTCTATCGTGTACGCAAACTACAAAAACAATGTTTTGAGAAAAACGAGTTTAAAGATTGAAAAACTGTTTATTAAAAACTTACAGCAGTCACAGGCCTCGATGAACGACTATTTTTTTATGGGTAGATCTTGGATAAGACGACATTTTACTGATAAATGGTAATTTTAATGGTAGGTGTAATAGTAGATAAGCGCAACAAATTATGAAAAGTATTAGAGACCGCGAGTGGAGTCGCGCGCCAGGCCACGCGCTTTATTGCGTTCTACAAGCTGTAACTCGAAAAATACTTTGTATTTTGACGTAATATTTTAAGAGCATATTCTCTGATAGTTGTACTTTCAGTTAAGACAACTTTTAAAAAATCGATTTTTTTGACCCGATAAAGTAGGCGCCCCCCTTAAGCAACAAGGGTCCAAAAGCAGCCATTGTTAACGTTGGCGTTTACAGCACGAGTGGTAGACGAGGGCGAGCGCAACGAGTCTGAGACAGGTTGCAAAAGTAAATCTGGAACAAAATAAAAATTAATGATTAAGTAAGGATATTCCCTTCCGAAATATTTTATATAAATAAGTAAAATGACTTTATCACTCGGTCGATATTAAATAAAAAAACATAAAGACAACGATAATAATTGACAGATTTATAGTTGATCAAAGTTTAAATATCATGCAAATTTTGATAATTTTTATATACTTGTCTAATTTTTATAATTTTTTTTAATCCAAACAATAAAAAAAGTTAAGATTTTCAATTTTTTATCGATAGTCTATTTAATTACGGAAAGTTTGAGCCCAAGTAAAGCACGATCGGATGAAAAATGAAAATTTTACATTAGATTTAGTGATCAAAACAATTTTTTCATTTTTAGTAACCTCTCAAGTGATTACGATCTAAATCCTTTTAGTATTAAAAAATCAATTTCTTTAATGAAAATTTAAGTATTTTTCATTAATATTATTATTTTAGCTGCAAATCTCAGTGAATACGGTTTTTCATTTTTATTTCGGGAGTAAAATTCCTGTAGCGTATACTAATTGTAAGTGAAAAAAAAGTTGATCGGATAGGGCTGTAATTTGCACATAGTTTAGCCCTAGGGGTGAGTACTTTAACCACGAAGTATTGTAAGGTTTTTTCAAAAACTGAAGGAGAGGGAGGGGGTTGAATTTTTTTGAAAAATTTAAACAGTGAATTTTTGAAGACGTGTAACTTTTAAACAGAAAGAAGAAAAAAATTTGTCCTATATGTTTTCGAAAGGTTTTTTCCTGCTCTTTCGAATGGTGTTAAAAAAATTTCAAAAAATTCAAAATTTGGTCCTTTTTTGAAAATTAAACTTTTTTTCGAATTTTTTTTAAATTTCTGTCCTTTTTATTTTTTTTTTGAAAGATAAAAATGTGTATTTTCACCACAAAAAATATTGAGATGTCCTTTTTTGATATTTTCGAGATATTAATTAATTAATTAATATTATTACTAATAAAAAATGAAATACATATTTCACAAATAAATAAAGTTATTGACATTTTGGGTCTACCAATTGAAAGCTGACGTAATTCCGCATCCAACGAGTCCTATATGAACTATTTTGAATTAGCGAATTTTTTATAAACAATTGCAATGTTAGCCAATTGTTTTTTATTTACAATCCACTAATCTAAAGCACTTCATATAGGGCTCGTTAGATGTGGAATTATGTCAACTTTCATTTAGTAACGTTAGACTTACGATAACTGTATTTGTTTATCAATTATAACATTTTTTATTAACTTAAATAATTAATTAATTAACTGAAATTTGTAAATATTATATAAGTAAATAAAAACAATTTTAACATATATGTTTTCTAAAGGTTTTTTTGTGCTGTATTCATTAATGAAAAAAAATTTCAAATATTTAAAATTTTACCCTATTTTTTAAAAATTAAAAAAAATTTTGACATTTTTTCAAAATCGGTCTTTATTTATTTTTCAAATTTTCTTAGAAAGTTTAAAACTTATACTTTCAACACAGAAAATATGGAAATGTCCTTTTTTGTTGTCTTCGAGATATTTATTAATTAATTAATTAGTGTTAATAAAAAATGATATATTTTATAAACAAATAAAGTTTTCGTAATAACATCCAACGAGCCCTATATAAAGTGCTTTGGATTAGTGGATTGCAAATATACAAATGGCTAACATTGCAAATTGCTTATAAAAAATCCTCTAATTTAAAATAGTTCGTATAAAGTTCGTAGGATGCGGAATTACGTCAGCTTTCAATTGGTAGCTTCAAAATTTTCAATAACTTTATTTATTTGTAAAATATTTCATTTTCTTTAACAAAAATTAATTAATATCTCGAAAATAACAAAAAAGGACATCTCAATATTTTTTGTGGTAAAAATACACATTTTTAACATTAAAAAAAAAATTAACAAAAAAAAGACCGAACTTAAAAAAAGTCAAAAAAATTTTTGATTTTCAAAGAAAGGATCAAATTTTGAATTTTTTGAAAATTTTTTTACACCATTCGAAAGAGCAGGATAAAAGCTTTCAAAAAAAGGTCAAATTTATTTTCATATTTCTGTTTAAAAGTAACACATCTTCAAAAATTCACTGTTTAAATTTTTCAAAAAAATTCAACCCCCTCCCTCATCCGATCAACTTTTTTTCACTTACAATTAGTATACGCTACAGGAATTTTACCCCCGAAATAAAAATGAAAAACCGTTTCCACTGAGATTTGCAGCTAAAATAATAATAGTAATGAAAAATACTTAAATTTTCATTAAAGAAATTGATTTTTTAATACTAAAAGGATTTAGATCGAAATCACTTGAGAGGTTACTAAAAATGAAAAAATTGTTTTGATCACTAAATCTAATGTAAAATTTTCATTTTTCATCCGATCGTGCTTTACTGGGCTCAAACTTTCCGTAATTAAATAGACTATCGATAAAAAATTAAAAATATGAACTTTTGTAGGATTGATGGTTTTTATTATAATAAAATATAGGCACTATTTCGAAGCTTTTTGTTGGAACTACAACTATATTTGCAATATATTCATTTTCAATTTAAAAATAGTGAAACTCAGGAAATGTTTTAAGGGTCCATTTATGACCTCCCCACTTCATGTACATCCCCGAACGAAGGTCCTAAAGTCTGTACTCAGGTAATTTGAAGCCAGTCCTCGTTTACCCGTTGTCAAATAAAGCCAATAATATCTCTATCCAGTCTTTGTACATTAAATCTCTGTATTAAGTTAAAATTCTAACACATTTGAATAAATTTTTATTTTTAAAAAAATGGCGGTCTTTGCAGGATTTTGCTAAAAATTATTTTAAACACTTCCAAAATAAATGCAAGAAAAAAAATTGATCCAGTAAAACTTGTCATTTAAATTTAATTCAGACATCCCGTTTGCCAGTGTCATCAATATTAATGTGAACAATGTAAAATAGATATTAATTGAAATTAAAATATTAAATAATTTTTGTCACAGAATCTTGAAAAATGTCAACCGCTCCCGGACACTTCAACATCGGTTTCCGCAACGCCAAAGAAAGCGTCTCGAATAATGACAGGCGATGATCGCGAAGAAAATAAAGACGATGGAATGTTAGATATACGTACTCTTCGTGAGAAAAGTAGGCATCTTGATTTGCCTTTAATATCTGCTTTGTGCAATGACAGGTATTTACTTAAACAAACAAAAGCCTTCGTCTTGCCTAAGCATGCCAGTGAAGCAACTTCATCGACTTCGATAACGAGAAGTATTAACGGAGCATTGCCTAGCAAAAGCAAATATTCTACGAGTGGATCTTCGAGTACACAACTAACAAAACCACCCAGAAAATTATCGACGATTGCACAGAAGCATCTACAGGTGAAGAGTAACGCTTTTAAGGGAAACACTACATCTACTGCCTCTGCAGCTAAAAAAGATTTTACGAGAACTTCCTACTCGTGATTTAAAAATGTTTTACTAAACGAAACTCAGCTTTTAAAAAATACATTCCGTTATGAAGTATTTTGTATCTAGACGAATATTATTCTTTTCAGTACAGTCAATATGTTCAAGATTATTTTTAATATTATATTCTCAAACACATCAATTTAAAGTACAACATGTTGAAAGACGTTTATCCACATAAATGCAGACCTCCAGAAAAAATAGTTAATTAACATTTAAATAATTAAAATAATATTATTAATTGTAATAATAAATTCAAAATAATATTATTATTAATTGTACTTTCTGAAAGAAGAAATATCAATTTTCAAAAAAAAAATTAATTTGTTTATACAATTAGCATAGGATATAAAATTTCTGTCACATCGCTTCTACAAAATTTTTTAAAAAATTTTCGATTTTAATGTAATATGGTTTATATTGTTTAGAAAATGATTCTCTACAAATTCACGGTAGGGATTTTCAAAAAAGCAAACAGTTTCGAAAATATTTGTTCAAAAAAATCTAAATTTTTCTTTTAAACAAACAGACATATTTTCCAAATTTGTAAATCTCCACGGTGAAGTTGTAGAGAATTATTTGCTGAACAAAATAAGCCATATTATATTGAAATAGAATCATTTTTAAAAAATTCTGTAGAAGCGATGTGACGGAAAATAAAAATAAATTTTTTAGGTTTTAAATTTTGTTCTTAAAAATTAATATTTCTTCTTTCAGAAAGTACAATTCATAATATTACTTTATATATAAATGTTAATTAACCATTTTTTTCTGGAGGTCTGCATTTTCGTGGATAAACGTTCTTGAATCCTTTATTTTATTTATGAAAACAATTAAAATTCATCGACAATGAAAATAGTTCGTTTTTTATAGATCGTCGACCGTGTTTCTTCTACTCAGAGTGCCATTTTGTACTACTGTTTTTTACGTAAAGTATTAAACTTTTCTGGACGAGTGGAAAATAGACATTTTAAGTTGCAAAAGCTGATAAAAAGTATTTTGGTTATTAAAGAAAGTTTATACCATAAAAATCATATTGATCTTCATTGTATGATACTGAAGTTTACTTACCGCAAAATGTCTATTTAGCTGTATTCCGCATCATTTATCATCGAATTTTGCTCAATTTCGTTTCAAAATGAATTCATCGTAAATAGTATAATTTAGATAAAAGTAATATTGTAAAGATAAATTAAAAGGGTATAAAATATACCTTTTTAACTTCTTACTTATTCTAGAAGAAAATATATTCTGTTTCTCTGTTAAATCTGACACAAGAATTGTTTTTTGTGTTTAAACTGAATTTACACGAAACTTTTTATCGGTTTTAATTAGAACACGGAGAAGAATGGATATTCAAGTTTGAAATCTTTAGCGAGTCAATTAAGGAAGAATATCTTAGATACTCAAATTTAGTATCTTAAGATATTTAATCATTCTAAATTTGAATTAATTATTAATAAATAGTTTCGTAACGAACTATCTATATTTGAGCATCCATTTATCTTTGTAAAGAAATGAATCAAATGTAGTAAATTAGCTTATCGTGCATCGAGTAAAAGGCTTCGATGATTCCAATGACTACTCTGAAAGTAGTGGTTGCTGGATTAGTTAAAAGGGATGAATTTATACATTTTCAAATCAATGGCACAGCAATGGATCGGAACTTAATTTCATCAAAGTATTTTTTTGCACTAACGCGCTATTGTTTTGAAAATTTGTGAATTCCTCGCCCTTCAATAAACTTTGGAAGTCCTTTTTTTTACACAATTATTGACAGAATTTAATTTAAATAATTTTTTCTTTGCATTGCGATGATTAATGAACATCCAATTTGTAAAATATTAGGTGCGAAATGATATAAATTTGCCTTGTGCAACGATTGCTTTACCTGCTATTTGTAAGCTTAGGTGTTGCTTTGAACTTAAAAAGGTTAATATTTTTTCATGTAAAAAATTTAAAACATTTTTTGTCAGAAATGTTTTGAACGTAATATATTTATTTCAACGACTCTTACTTTTAATAAGAGAAGAAAATATATTTAAGAAATTATAAGTTCACCCGTTTCGTTTCAACTATTCATGTTCATTTTTATTTATTGATTGCATTTAACTTCTGCTATATGATTGGGGGCCATTCATTAATTACGTAAGGGTTCTTAGGGTGAGGGGGGGTTTATAAAATCTCTATATGGTCTTATGTCGGGAGGTGATGGGGTAGAAGCTATTCTTACGTAAGATTTTGCCAAGTATTTTCCATTTGTATTGTTTATAATAATTTTTAAATTATATTAATATTGTTAAAAACTTACGTATAAGGGGAAGAGGGAGGTTCGAAAAATCTTATGTATTCTTACATGGGGGTAGGGGGGTTCAAAATTAGACAAAATCGTCCTTACGTAATTAATGAATGGTCCCTTGCTAGTGCCTTTTGAGACTAAAAAGGGATTTTTGTATTCAAAGGAAAATATTAAATTTTTTTGTATGAATCCTAGATAATTTATACGCTTATTACTGCTTACTTTTTTTAAAAATTTGAAAAATGTTGATAGTGTCTTTTGACATAACGTACTTCTACTATTACGTCTATGTGGTTAAAAAATTGTGTGTAAATTATATTAAAGAAAAGATATAAGGGTGAAAGACTAAGGTTTTAATCTTTCAGTGTGATATGTACCTTCTTGTAGAATCTAACATTGTAATAAATATCGATGTTTTACTACAGTTATGGGTATTAAAAAGGAATCAAAAAGATTGACTCTTTTTATTAAAATTTTTAAATAACACGTGCTTTTATTGTAGTTTGTATCCATACAACGTATTGAGTAATGTAGTTTAATTAATTTAGTTAGTATTAATTTATATTATGTTACTTATCAATAGGCATTAATAGCAGATTATGATTCATATTTGTAAATAATATTTTATGCGAAGTTACTACCTAGGATCCTTAGATCTTGCCGTAGTAAGAAAATTCATACATGTTCCACGCACCACCTCATGAATAGTAATAAACTTCTTTTTTATAATTAATTACTTAATTCGCTTTTTATTTGATATTTCTCTATCTCATATTCATAACTCACGGTGGTCTTAAAAATTTATAAATACTTTTGACACATGCTCTTTCCAAATCTTGGAAAAACGTTTCTGTATCACCTATTGAATTAATTTTAAGTACAATCAAAATCACGTATTAGGTCGATTTTTTTAAAACTTTAGGTGAGAGTGGAGAATTGTGCTCCGCGTTTTGTTTTTGAATCAAAACAGATAAGATAATAAAAAATTAATTTTAGATAATGTAGATAAAATTAAATTATTTAAAAAATAATTGAATTAAACTAGGTAATTAATTTCATTTACAGTGAATACAGATGTAAAAAGTCACATTTCACTAAAGAACAATATTTAAATTACACAAAACATTCTAATTATTCATAAATAATGTGAAATAAAAATAGAGAGTGCGTATTATAATTAAAAACTGTTAAATATGATGCGAGGCACAACTCCCCATTTTCTACATTTTCAAAATATTGTTGTTTTGAATGTTGTGTTTTTTGTATGTTGAAAAGTTATTAATGACAGCTAATTTTTATGCATTGAACATTGTGATTCAGTTTGAAAAAATTAGTGGAAATGACTTAAACATAAAGAGACAAAAAAACTTTTAGAAAAAATTTTTAACTTACTATCTGTAAAGGCACGGAAAATGCTTCCAAAGATGACGGGTACCACTTAAAAAGTTAGTTCTTAACGAGAAAAGAATATGACAATAGGTGAAATTTGTCATATTAATTTTTATAATAAGAAAATTAAGGTAGAGCACGACTCTCCACAAAGCACTCTCCCCTACTATTAGAGAATTTATATTTTACTTTAATTGACCAAAAAAATAGTCATAAAGACTATTAAAATGAAAAAAATTTTAAATCGCGTTCAGTAACTCAAAACTAAATAAATTTATTCGAAAATTCAATTTCTTGTATATATAATTTATATATACAATTTATATATATTCCTATAAATAATCATTAAATGAACTGTTTTATTATATTAAATATGTAAGCTATCACTTTAAGTTATTTCGTTACTTTCTCTGCACTTTTTTATTACTTTAAAAACTTAATAATTTCGTGTTTCCATAAGAGCACACAAAGTGATAGTTCCATCGTGTTTGGTTCGTTTACTGTTACAATATAGGGGATATACCTGCATAATTTAAATTATGGACAAGATTTTTTTACTATAAGAAATTAATTTAAAACAATAGGCGTTTTCCAGATTCTTGCTATAAGCGCTCAGTAAGCACGAAAAGGATCTCAACCTGTTTATAAAAGTAGTTAAGTTTCATAGATTCTGATTGGTTAAAACATTGCAATTAAGAAGTTTTTGACCAAAATAGAGGTGCTTGTTTTGTTGTTTTTTTTGCAACTTTGTACTGAGCAAACGACTGCATTCAGACGGCTCAGGCAGTGCTAAGAATCAAATGGCTTAGCACGGGTTTTGATCAAATTTGCTCAGTACAAAGTTGTAAACAAAATAAATTTTCAAAAAACGACAGAACAATCACATCAATGAAACTAAACTATACTTTTATAAACAGCCCTGGCGGATTGTATGATGTGAATGCTTCACGAAATTCGCGGAGCATTCGTGGAACACGAGATTGAAATTGAAATTCTGTCTAAAATGTATAAAAAATAATTAAATTGATAGTATAATTATTAAAATCAATAAGTTTTATGCATTTTAAGATGATTACACAGCCACACAAAAAAAAAGTTTTGATCTGGGGGTCTGACTATGCCTACTTTATTTTTTTTGGGTCGCTGAATCCGAATTCGAGGTCCGTTTTACCTCATCAGATCAGGATTTTGAGATAACCTCAAAAAACAAATATAGCGGACACTTTTTCGAAAAATTCATCGGATTTATCTGAAACTCTTTATTCGGGGGTTTTTGGGGTCGCTGATCACGAATCTCATGTCAGTTTTCAAAAATTCAAAATGGCGGATCCAAAATGGCTAACACATTTTTGAAAAATTCATCGGAATCGCATGAAACTCTTTCCTCGGGGGTATTCGGAGCCGCTGATTACGAATTTGAAGTCAGTTTTCAAAAATTCAAGATGGCGGACACTTTTTCGAAAAATGCCTTCATGGCAGATACACTTAAGAAATTTGTTACGATGTCATCTTGAATTTTTGAAAACTAACTTCAAATATGTAATCAGCGACTCCGAAAACCCCCGAGTAACGAGTTTCAGGCGATTCCGATGAATTTTTCGAAAAAGTGTCCGACATTTAAAATTTTTAAAAACTTATATCAGATTCGTGATCAGCGACCCCAAAACCCCCGAATAACGAGTTTCAGGCAAATCCGATGAATTTTTCGAAAATGTGACAGCCATTTTGAATCCGCCATTTTGAATTTTGAAAAACTGACAGTAGATTCGTGTTCAGCGACCCCAAAAACCCACCAGTAACGAGTTTCAGGCAAATCCGATAAATTTTTCGAAAAAGTGTTCACCATATTGGTTTTTTGAGGTTATCTTAAAATCCTGATCTGATGGGGTAAAACGGACCTCAAATTCGGATTCAGCGACCCAAGAAACATACAGTAGGTCTAGTCAGACCCCCAGATCAAATTTTTTTTTTGTGTGGCTGTGTTATTGTTAAATAATTACAAATATTCAATGTTTTTATTAATTTCAATCTATTACAGTTTATTATCAACATTTATCGATAAAATAAATACAGCCGCACTCTTTAACAGGTAGGTGGCAGCACTCTTATTTTCTTTTCTTTAAATTTTTTCTGTATTTTTTTATCCAAAGCAAAACTCTTATTTGTTAAACAGAAATATTAATTAAAACAATGTAATATTTCATAAAAAAAACAAAAGTTTAAATAAAAACTGTTGTAGTTGAAAAAAAATTAATTTTTTTTATCAAAAAAAAAGTTGAAAGAAAATAATTTTAAACGGTGAAATGGTGAAAAAATGGATTATTTTGTCAAAAAAATTAAATATCTTAATTAATTAATTAATTGGTTTCTCTGTTAAATCTGACACTAGAATTGTTTTTTGTGTTCAAACTGAATTTGAACAAAACTTTTTATCGGTTTTAATTAGAACACGGAGAAGAATGGATATTCTAGTTTAAAATCTTTAGCGAGTCAATTAAGGAAGAATATCTAAGGTATTCAAATTTAGTATCTTAAGATATTTAATCATTCTAAATTTGAATTAATTATTAATAAATAATTTCTTAACGAACAATAGTCGATATTCTAGAATGGTCCCCAGGATATCTTGGGATATCCCTAGGATATCCAAACCGCCGGTCTGTGGGACATCAACAGGACATCCATAGGATATCCACAGGATATCCCTAAGACATCTACAAAATATCTATTGGATATTATATCGCAGGACATCCATGGGATATCCTCAAGATATCCATGGAATATCCTCAAGATGTCCGTGGGATATTCTTAGGATTTTCACGGGATATTTAATATCTCAACATATATTTTTAAAGGTTAAAATTGTTAAGCTAATATAATGAAAAATAATATAATAAAAACAAAAATCTTATAAGCTTCTAATTTATTTTAAATGAAGATTTGAAACGCAGTTTTCAAAGTTTTTAAATAAACTCATGCACTTAATTAATATTAATAGTTATTCGTTATTTGCCGGGATGAATTTATATTGTTTAAAGCCAATTTATTTTCTGACAATATTAAGCATATGAATAAAGGAATGAATCACGAATGAGAAAAAAATTAGTAAATAATTTTTCAAATTAAACAACTTTGTCGAAAAACAAGATGCATTTTATTTTATTTATATAAAATTTAATTCACGGAATATTCTCACTCGTAGTCTCATAATGACATTAAAAACAGTATCCTGAGAATATCTTCTTGACATCCAGAAGATATACTGAGAATATCCTGACGATATCTATGGGATATCTGGAGGACATTTATGAAAGTCTATAGAGATATCCAGAAGATATCCATGGGATATCCAAACCGCCGATTTTTTCGATATCCTTAAGAGATCCTTTTGATATTCATAGGACTTCCCTAGGATATATGCGGGATATTATCAATATATCCGAAGATATCTTGTGTTATTAGGGCGATGATTCCAATGACTACTCTGAAAGTAGTGGTTGCTGGATTAGTTAAAAGGGATGAATTTATACATTTTCAAATCAATGGCACAGCAATGGATCAGAACTTAATTTCATCAAAGTATTTTTTTGCACTAACGTGCTATTGTTTTGAAAATTGGTGAATTCCTCACTCTTCAATAAACTTTGCAAGTCCTTTTTTTTACACAATTATTGACAGAATTTAATTTAAATAATTTTTTCTTTGCATTGCGATGATTAATGAACATCCAATTTGTAAAATATTAGGTGAGAAATGATATAAATTTGCCTTGTGCAACGATTGCTTTACCTGCTATTTGTAAGCTTAGGTGTTGCTTTGAACTTAAAAAGGTTAATATTTTTTCATGTAAAAAATTTAAAACATTTTTTGTCAGAAATGTTTTGAACGTAATATATTTATTTCAACGACTCTTGCTTTTAATAAGAGAAGAAAATATATTTAAGAAATTATAAGTTCACCCGTTTCGTTTCAACTATTCATGTTCATTTTTATTTATTGATTGCATTTAACTTCTGCTATATGATTGGGGGCCATTCATTAATTACGTAAGGGTTCTTAGGGTGAGGGGGGGTTTATAAAATCTCTATATGGTCTTATGTCGGGAGGTGATGGGGTAGAAGCTATTCTTACGTAAGATTTTGCCAAGTATTTTCCATTTGTATTGTTTATAATAATTTTTAAATTATATTAATATTGTTAAAAACTTACGTATAAGGGGAAGAGGGAGGTTCGAAAAATCTTATGTATTCTTACATGGGGGTAGGGGGGTTCAAAATTAGACAAAATCGTCCTTACGTAATTAATGAATGGTCCCTTGCTAGTGCCTTTTGAGACTAAAAAGGG